GCTACACTAGGGTCATTACTGCTACACTAGGATAATTACTGCTACACTAGGATCATTACTGCTACACTAGGGTCATTACTGCTACACTAGGGCCATTACTGCTACACTAGGGCCATTACTGCTACACTGGGGCCAAATTACGGCTACACTAGGGCCATTACTGCTACACTAGGGTCATTACTGCTACACGGGGGCCCTTTACTGCTACACTAGGGCCATTACTGCTACACTAGGGCCATTACTGCTACACTAGGGCCATTACTGCTACACTAGGGTCATTACTGCTACACTAGGGCCATTACTGCTACACTAGGGCCATTACTGTACATTTGGGCCATTACTCTACACTAGGGCCCATTACTGCTACAATAGGGTCATTATGCAAAACTAGGGCCATTTACTGCTACACTTGGGGCCATTACTGCTACATGGGGTCATTACTGCTACACTAGGGCCATACTGCTACCTAGGGCCATTACTGCTAACTAGGGTCTTTACTGCTACACTAGGGCCATTACTGCTACATTTGGGTCATTACTGCTACACTAGGGCCATTACTGCTACACTAGGGTCATTACTGCTACACTAGGGCCATTACTGCTACACTAGGGCCATTACTGCTACACTAGGGCCATTACTGCTACACTAGGACCATTACTGCTACACTAGGGTCATTACTGCTACACTAGGGTCATTACTGCTACACTAGGGCCATTACTGCTACACTAGGGTCATTACTGCTACACTAGGGTCATTACTGCTACACTAGGGCCATTACTGCTACACTAGGGTCATTACTGCTACACCAGGGTCATTACTGCTACACTAGGGTCATTACTGCTACACTAGGGTCATTACTGCTACACTAGGGTCATTACTGCTACACTAGGATCATTACTGCTACACTAGGGTCATTACTGCTACACTAGGGTCATTACTGCTACACTAGGGTCATTACTGCTACACTAGGGTCATTACTGCTACACTAGGGCCATTACTGCTACACCAGGGTCATTACTGCTACACTAGGGTCATTACTGCTACACTAGGGCCATTACTGCTACACTAGGGTCATTACTGCTACACTAGGGTCATTACTGCTACACTAGGGTCATTACTGCTACACTAGGATCATTTACTGCTACACTAGGGTCATTATGCTACACTAGGGTCATTACTGCTACACTAGGGCCCATTACTGCTACACTAGGGTTTCATTACTGCTAAAACTAGGGTCATTACTGCTACACTAGGGTAAATTACTGCTACACTAGGGTCATTACTGTTTACACTAGGGCCATTACTGCTACACTAGGGTCATTACTGCTACACTAGGGTCATTACTGCTACACTAGGGCTATTACTGCTACACTAGGGTCATTACTGCTTCACTAGGGTCATTACTGCTACACCAGGGTCATTACTGCTACACTAGGGTCATTACTACAACACTAGGGTCATTACTGCTACACTAGGGTCATTACTGCTTCACTAGGGTCATTACTGCTACACTAGGGTCATTACTACAACACTAGGGTCATTACTGCTACATTAGGGTCATTACTGCTACACTAGGGTCATTACTGCTACACTAGGGCCATTACTGCTACACTAGGGTCATTACTGCTACACTAGGGTCATTACTGCTACACTGGGCCATTACTGCTAACTAGGGTCATTACTGCTTCACTAGGGTCATTACGGGCTTCAACAGGGTCATTACTGCTACATGGGGTTTCATACTACAAACACTAGGGTCATTACTGCTTCACTAGGGTCATTACTGCTACACTAGGGTCATTACTGCTACACTAGGGTCATTACTGCTACACTAGGGTCATTACTGCTTCACTAGGGTCATTACTGCTTCACTAGTGTCATTACTGCTACACTAGGGTCATTACTGCTACACTAGGGTCATTACTGCTACACTAGGGTCATTACTGCTTCACTAGGGTCATTACTGCTACACCAGGGTCATTACTGCTACACTAGGATCATTACTGCTACACTAGGGTCATTACTACAACACTAGGGTCATTACTACAACACTAGGGTCATTACTGCTACACTAGGGTCATTACTGCTACACTTGGTGACCCGGTGGTCTGGTGGCTAAAGCTCCCGCTTCACACACGGAGGGCCCGGGTTCGATTCCCGGCGGGTGGAAACATTTCGACACGTTTCCTTACACCTGTTGTCCTGTTCACCTAGCAGCAAATAGGTACCTGGGTGTTAGTCGACTGGTGTGGGTCGCATCCTGGGGGACAAGATTAAGGACCACAATGGAAATAAGTTAGACAGTCCTCGATGACGCACTGACTTTCTTGGGTTATCCTGGGTGGCTAACCCTCCGGGGTTAAAAATCCGAACGAAATCTTATATCTTATCTTACCATTCTTTTGGAAATTTATGTAAGGGGTACATGCCATTTTGCAATATAATCATAACTAAATGGTAAACCCACAAAGGTCAGACCATTATATCGACTGAACTAATGCCGAAGAATTCTCTGCAATTATACACTTCAAAATATTGTGTAATCATTTCTTAAACAAAATGCACAACATATTTCAAATTTGAGTTCTGGTATGTATAAACTTGACAATTTTATAGTAATTATAATGAAAAATAAGTGCTGAACCCACAAGGGTCATACAGTACAGTTGTTCATATACAGAATACTGTTCATATTATAATCAAAGAAAGCGCTAAACCGACAAGGGCCATGCGGCAATACTGTTCATAATCTTGATGGTAAAAATATTTTTTTTTCACAAATAGTTTGTGTTCTGTGTCAGGTGAAGAATCTGACTTGATGTAGTTTAGGTTTGTGTGAGGTGCTGTCTTCTGAGTGAGGTGTCACCTCAGGGTTTATCATGCAAAATGTGCTTCTCTTGCCACATCTTCCTATTCCTCTGAATTATCAATCAAAAAGAAGCACTAAACCCTTATTCCTCTGAAGACGTGTGTAAACACATGAAAGCGCTCGGGTTTTATTTCCTATTTTCACTGTGGTATTTTTTACATATTTGCAATAATGCATTTTATTGTGATTTCCTCCATATACATATACAACCATCCATTATATATATTACATATACAGGTAATATACACATACAGGTATATACAGGTATATACACATTATATATAGCCATTGAAGGGTAACCCACCCTGCCCTGACTGTTTTAATCCAGCAGTAGTTAGGGTAATTAAGTCTCAGACAGCCTCTCTGGTAGGCAAAACATATCCCAGGGGAAGATTAGCAAAGGTAACCTCCAAGGAGAGTGCACAGGCAACCTCCAAGGAGAGTGCACAGGCAACCTCCAAGGAGAGTGCACAGGCAACCTCTAAGGAGAGTGCACAGGCAACCTCCAAGGAGAGTGCACAGGAACCTCCAAGGAGAGTGCACAGGCAACCTTCAAGGAGAGTGCACAGGAACCTCCAAGGAGAGTGCACAGGCAACCTTCAAGGAGAGTGCACAGGCAACCTTCAAGGAGAGTGCACAGGGAACCTCCAAGGAGAGTGCACAGGCAACCTCTAAGGAGAGTGCACAGGTGTCTTAAGAAGTGCACAACTACCAAGAGTGCACAGGCAAACGTCGATAGAGCTGGGGTTACCAAACACAGGTTTCCTGGATCAAGGAACCTCCTATGGGGGCATGTGTGGATATCCCCCAGGGAGGGTCCTTGATGCCAGTGAGGGGCTCTTGACCCACATAACCGGCAATGCCAGGGAGGGTCCTTGATGCCAGTGAGGGGCTCTTGACCCACATAACCGGCAATGCCAGGGAGGGTCCTTGATGCCAGTGAGGGGCTCTTGACCCACATAACCGGCAATGCCCGCCCCTTCCAGGAACTGGACATGCCTGCCTTACGCGTCCCCCCAAAGCACCAATGCCCCCCTTACGGTTTTTGCACTTCCCCGTAAAAATAAAATAATCATTTGCTGATACAGTAATAAGGATAATAAAACACACAGCTGTATCACAATACATTGCCACAAAATAATGCAATAGAGCACTTCAGTAGTTTAAACAAATAGTATATGTACACTGCAAAAAATAGTAACAATGTAATTTATGTAACACTACTGTGCATTACCTTGTACATATTAAAGACATAGGCATGTGCCCCCTATTGTCCTACTTTGGCATACCGGTAAAGTTACTTTGACACATACTGGTAGAGTTACTTTGATAAATACTGGCACAATTACTTTTGGCACACGCTAGTAAAATTACTTTGATGAATACTGCTAAAACTTACTTTGGCATAAGAATTTATGAGAATAACATCATTGAGAATCACGTACAAAAAAGAGACGTTTATTCGAGAATAATAAAAAAAAATATTTTGATTACATATCCCAAAGTTTTTTCCAAGTTTAAAAATAATAAAAATTATCAATAAATTTATTATACAGTACGGATAAAGAATATTAGATATTATACACATAGAAGAAATATTTAAAACGTATGAAAAATTTTGTGATGTCTGCAGTTCTGGAAAGATGACAATTAAATGAAACAAGGTGAATATATTTTTTTCTTTGGGTCACCCTTTCCTGGCGAGACGGTTGATGAAACAAATTAAGCGTACATGAAAATGCTAGTATCATTACAGGCGTACCTCATTAATATGGAGCTCGCTTTAGAGCGCTTCGCTAATATAGAGCTTTTCGATTTTATTCTTGTTGATTGTTCTTGGCGCTTGCCTTGATCTTGAGATGGTTTTTTTGAAATTTCCAAATTTTATTCATTATTTTTATTTTTGCATTGTTCTTTTAGGCCTAGTGACATTGATTACTTAATAAATGATAGTGTAAACATGTTTTTAAGTTTTTATATACACTGGCAAGTGAAAAAAAAGGCAATATGAAAAAAAAGGAAATACAGTGGACCCCCGGTTAACGATATTTTTTCACTCCAGAAGTACATATGTTCAGGTGCTAGTACTGACCGAATTTGTCCCCATAAGGAATATTGTGAGTTAGATTAGTCCATTTCAGACCCCCAAACATACACATACAAACGCACTTACATAAATACACTTACATAATTGGTCACATTGGGAGGTGATCGTTAAGCGGGGGTCCACTGTATTGGCTTTACGGCAACAGTCTGGAACCTAATTCGCAGTATTAGTGAGGTACGCCCATATTTTAATACAAGAAAAATTTCATACAGAAAATCAATCGTTCATACCACCTAGTCCATCATGGGCCAGCCAGCGATCTCTGTTGCCATAGCTTGTACACTATCGACTGCTCCACTCTAATGCAGTGCCTGAGACACGTTGCTTAGTCGTGTTACTGCATCAATACTGGCACCGGGAAAGCCTCCAGAGGGTTTATATAGGATGGGCTGAGGGTTCGCAACTTGGTTGGAAGAAGGACTGGGGAGGGAGCCAGGGAACTTATCTTGAAGCACTGTCATTATATATTTTTTTTTTTTTTGAGGGACTTTATATGGGCTAACAGAGCTTTTTGGGGGCTTCAGTCCCCCCTTGAACCCCTCCACTCTTGGCCTGGTCCCTGCTGGCACCAATGGGTTACTTCGTAACAAAGGTTCATGTTTGGTGATTTTAACTGACAACTTAAGCAATAACAATAAATTAATTACCGATAAATTGGTGCGCCTCAACTTACGACATAGTTACAGTCCAACGAACCCATAAGTCAAAAATATTGTAAGTCGCATGTGAATATGATATGCTAAATAAATAACTACTGTCACTGAATAAGTAAATAAACAAATAATTACTGTAACTAAATACCAGAGTTGAAAAGTAAATAAATGATTACAAGTTATGGACTTGCCGCCATCTTGATGGATAGTTATCTTAAGTTTTGTTTCCAAAGTAATTACTTTTGTACGATTGTAAAGTCAAAATATTGTAAATCGAGCAATCGTAAGTTGAGGAGCACCTGTATTAATTAGATCTCTAAGTAAATAAGCAAAAACAGAGAATAAAAGCTCAAGTCACAAACCTTCTGAAGGGAATGAAAGACTCTCACCGTATGACTAAATCATCGAGATCTTCACGGGGAACACTTGTTTACAACCTGTTTTGGGGGATCCCCTCCCCCCTCTAGCTCAGTCTAGAAGCCAGACTTCTTTCTTGCTACATGATCAGCCAGACTGTTGTTTACAGCAGCCCAGAGGCATAACTATCACAAATCTGGCTGACCAGGCACAGGATTACAATAAATAATGAATATTTTACAGTACGTTTCTATACGTAGTAAAAAGAAGTGTATTTCTGGAGCATACAATACATACTTTTCAATTAAGATACTGCACATAGGAAGACATCACTATAAAACACATGACTATAAATAGGAAAAAATGACTATAGTCAAATAATTAGTTGAGATAGGGCAGAGTAGATAAGTATAGCCACACACAGCAAAACACACCTTTTAAGTTAGGTTAGGTTAGGATGGGTTAGGTTAGGTTAGGTTAGGTTAGGTTAGGTTAGGTTAGGTTAGGGTAGGATAGGTTAGGATAGGTTAGGTTAGGTTAGGTTAGGCTAGGTTAGGATAGGTAGGTTATTAGGTTAGGCTAGGTAGGTTAGGATGGGTTAGGTTAGGTTAGGTTAGGTTAGGTTAGGTTAGGTTAGGGTAGGATAGGTTAGGATAGGTTAGGTTAGGTTAGGTTAGGCTAGATTAGGATAGGTTAGATTAGGTTAGGTTAGGCTAGGTTAGGATGGGTTAGGTTAGGTTAGGTTAGGTTAGGTTAGGTTAGGTTAGGATGGGTTAGGTTAGGTTAGGTTAGGTTAGGTTAGGTTAGGTTAGGATTGGATAGGTTAGGTTAGGTTAGGATTGGATAGGTTAGGTTAGGTTAGGTTAGGTTAGGTTTAGGTTAGGACAGGATGGGTTAGGTTACGTTGGGTTAGGTTAGGTTAGGATTGGATGGGTTAGGTTAGGTTAGGCTAGGACAGGATGGGTTAGGTTACGTTGGGTTAGGTTAGGTTAGGATTGGATGGGTTAGGTTAGGTTAGGCTAGGACAGGATGGGTTAGGTTAGGTTGGGTTAGGTTAGGTTAGGTTAGGTTAGGATAGGATGGGTTAGGTTAGGTTAGGTTAGGATAGGATAGGTTAGGTTAGGATAGGATGGGGTAGGTTAGGTTAGGATAGGATAGGATAGGTTAGGTTAGGTTAGGATAGGGTAGGTTAGGTTAGGTTAGGATAGGGTAGGTTAGGTTAGGATAGGATAGGATAGGTTAGGTTAGGATAGGATAGGTTAGGTTAGGATAGGATGGGTTAGGTTAGGTTAGGTTAGGATAGGATAGGATAGGATAGGATAGGATAGGTTAGGTTAGGTAAGGTAAGGTGTGCCAGAAAACAGGACAAGTGTTTCCTAAAGTGGGTCTTAAACATATAATGACCCACAGCTGAAGCCTTTGGTCATCTGACTGATGCCTTCTACCGGCTTATCACTCTACCACTTCAAAAATTATGGTTATTACTGCAACCAATTTACAGCACAGAAAGGAACCCTTTATTAGTATGACGTTACCATGATATTTTACCAACACGTTTCTATATCAACTACAGTAAACTCTCTTATAAATTTCTATATGCAGTGTAATTCTTTTGTTTTTTGTTTTATTTATTTAATAATTTGCACGAAAGAGTTTGCCTAAAACTGAATAGCATATGCAAAGGCGTTCATAATCTTAATGTTCCAAGTTGGATTGAAACATTGTCGTAAGTTTCTTTCTCCTATATGCCGGTTATTTGTGTGTTCCAGTCATGGTATTGTGCCTTTTTTGTTCATGTTCTATTCAATTTTATGAACTTTCTTGGTAAAAGGACACAAGCGCAGCTAATGGACAATTTACTGTGGCAACGTTTTGCTCTCCAGGAGCTTTGTCGGCTTGACAAAGATCCTGGAGAGCAAAACGTTGCCACAATACAATGTCACATTAGCTTCACTTGCGACCTTTTACCTAACATATTCTCAATAATTCTACCGACATAAATATGACCTTTTTCACTTGCATTTACAAAAGTCTCCCCTACACAGAGGGGAGACTTTTATAAATGCTTCATATACATCAAGCATCATACTAATTAACCCGTAAATGGTCCAAACGTATATATACATTTTTTCAACATTTGAAAGTATGTAAAAAAAGTAGATCTTTTTTTTGTTTTTTTTTTTACATTTGAAAATGTGTAAAAATACTTTGATCTACTTTTTTTTTTTGTAATACAGTGGACCCCCGGTTAACGATATTTTTTCATTCCAGAAGTATGTTCAGGTGCCAGTACTGACCGAATTTGTTCCCATAAGGAATATTGTGAAGTAGATTAGTCCATTTCAGACCCCCAAACATACACTTACAAACGCACTTACATAAATACACTTACATAATTGGTCGCATTGGGAGTTGATCGTTAAGCGGGGGTCCACTGTATTTGAAAATATGTAAAAAAAAAAAACGTAGATCTACTTTTGTAGCACTACACATGTGAACGTAGATCTGCTTGGACCGTTTACGGGTTAAGATCTACTGATGTCTTTTTAAGCAGTGAAAAAAAATAACAGAACAAATGAGTGGGTGAATCGACACATTTACAAACATCTTGAGAAGAATTGGTTCCTCAAAAAATACTGTGTATAACACCGCAAACCAAACGTGATAATCGACCAACTTGTTTACAGTCGAACTTCATAATTGTCAGTCAGGTTCTTAGAGGTCCTCAGGCGCTCAAGTAATGTGTGTGTAAATGCACGTGAGTGGTCATGTGTTTGTGTTCTGCTAAATTTTTCAATTTGGCATCCTTTTGTCATACTGTAAATGATTTACACTTAGTACTGAAAATAACAACTCAAACATAGTATGGTAAATGCAGTTACATAAGCAAAGTTTTTTTTTTCAACAAGTCGGCTGTCTCCCACCGAGGCAGGGTGACCCAAAAAGAAAGAAAATCCCCAAAAAGAAAATACTTTCATCATCATTCAACACTTTCACCTCACTCACACATTAATAACTGTTTTTGCAGAGGTGCTCAGAATACGACAGCCGGACTTGAGTCCTGGAAATGGGAAGTGCAGGCATTGTGCTTCCCATTTCCAGGACTCAAGTCCGGCTACATAAAATAACCGGTTTCCCTGAATCCCTTCACTAAATATTACCCATAAGCAAAATTATTCTTAAATTTATTTTTTTCTGACATTTTCTTAAGTTACAAATACATATTAAAAAATTAATGAGAAAAAAAATCTAGCAAAACTACTTTGATACAATAAAAACATTTTCCTCTTACCATTGCAAATTTAAATGCTTTCCTTCAGTGACTAGATAATTTTATGTATAAAATCTAGCAACGATCAAAATTTTGGATTCAAAATATTCAAAAAACATTACCTATACCAAGTGAGGAAGGCACTTGAGGGAAGATGACTTAAACTGCATCTTGAGATTATACATAAAAAATAAATATTATATTAACCCTTAAACTGTCCAAACGTAGATCTACGTTGATGTGCGTAGCACTCCAACCTTTATTTTCCCCATTTGAAAGCATGTAAAAAAAAAAGTAGACCTACTTTTATAGCCCCCACACGTGAACGTAGATCTACGTTTGTAGCCCCCACACGTGAACGTAGATCTACGTTTGTAGCCCCCACACGTGAACGTAGATCTACGTTTGGACAGTTTAAGGGTTAATTGGGAAGTGCTAGACCCACAAAGATAATACAGCACCTGAGATATGGGAGGTAATCCAGACTATTACTTGTGAATATTACATCTAGTAGGCCGCACCTGCAATTAATTAACCTGGTCCAACACTGGGAAGCCTGGTCATGTACTAGGCTGTGGGGAGCATTGACCCCTGGAGCACCCATCAGGTAGACTCTAGGTACATAGGTTAGGTTAGGTTAGGTTAGGTTCTAATATACGGTAATCTCTTGAATGAGTAATGATGCTGATGAGAATGATAATGAATGTGACACACAATGTATTTAAAATATAGGAAATGCTTCTATGGCTTTCAAGTCTAGGCCTATCCCTTTTTTAAACCCCTTCAGGAGTCTTGTGAGACAACCTGGGGTCTTGAGACAACCAGGAGTCTTGAAGGAAAACCTGGCGGTCTTGAAGACAACCTGGGGTCTTTGAAGACAACAGGGGTATTGAAGACAACCAGGAGGTCTTGAAGACAACCGGGGGTCTTGACTGTCACGGGGTCTTGGAAGACAACCAGGGGTCTCTTGACTGTTCACGGGGTCTTTGAAAGACACCAGGGGTCTAGGACTGTCACGGGGGTCTTGAAGACTGCCAGGGGTCATTGGAAGGACACCAGGGGTTCTGACTGTCACGAGGTCTTGAAGACAACCTCAGGGGTCTTGACTCTCACGGGTTCTTGAAGACAACCAGGGGTCCTTGAAGACAACCAGGGGGTCTTGAAGACACCAGGGGTCATTGAAGACAGCAGGGGTCTTGAAGACAACCAGGGGCTCTTGAAGACAACTCAGGGGATTTGTAGACAACCAGGGGTATTGAAGACAGTCAGGGCCTTGAAGGACAGCAGGGGTCTATTAATATTATCAGCCCTATAGCGCCTAAAACCACAAGGATCATACAACCGCTTGGAATCCCCCTTTTGTATGCTGTGAGACAGTTGAACACAGTCTTGATACCCTGGACACTTGGACGGACTCACGTTCTTTAGTCAGTGTGATTTTCCGCGAGAATTTAAACTGTCAAACTTGTACAATACTTTGTCTTAGTTCCATATTTATGCATCTGATGCAGCTCTTACCTTGACGTCTATAACAGCCACTTGACGGTTCGTCAGCCAATGTGACAGCTCACCTGACGTCTGTCAGTGCAACTAACACTAGCTTCACCTCCTCTACAGCACACTGAACAAGCTTCTGGACAATCTGACTGACGGTAAAACCTTCGGTTTGAGGCGACTTGGAAACCCTACCTACAACACTAGGGCCATACTGCTACACTAGGGGTCATTACTGCTACAACTAGGGTCATTACTGCTACACTAGGGTCATTATGCTACACTAGGGTCATTTACTGCTACACTAGGGTCATACTGCTACATCGGATCATTAACTACACTTAGGGGTCTTTACTGCTACACTAGGCCATTACTGCTACACTAGGATCATTTCTACAAACAATAGGGTCAATTTTCTGCTAACTAGGCCATTACTGCTAACTAGGATCATTACTACAACACTAGTGTCATTACTGCTACACTAGGGTCATTACTGCTACACTAGGGTCTTTACTGCTACATAGGGTCAATTGCTGCTAACACTAGGGTCATTACGCTACACTAGGGTCATTACTGCTACTCTAGGTCATTACTACAACACTAGGGCCATTACTGCTCACTAGGTCATTACTGCTACATAGGGTCATTAATGCTACACTAGGGTCATACTGCTACTTAGGGTCCATTACGCTACACTAGGGTTATTACTGCCTACACTAGGGTTCATTACTGCTCACTAGGGTTATTATACTACACATAGGGTCATTACTGCTACACCAGGGTCATCATTACTGCTACACAGGTCTATTACTGCTACACTAGGGTATTACTGCACTTCAACTAGGGTCATTACTTCTACCACTAGGTAATTAATGGTACACTAGGATTCATTACTGCTACACTAGGGTCCATTACTGCTACATAGGGCCAATTACTGCTACACTAGGGCCATTACTGCTACACTAGGGCCATAAGCTAAACTAGGGCCATACTGCTACCACTGGGTCATTACTGCTACACTAGGGCCATACTGCTTCACTAGGGCCTTACTGCTACAATAGGGTCCATTTCTGCTACAACTAGGGCCATACTGCTACAATAGGGGCATTACTGCTTCAACTAGGGCATTACTGTACACTAGGGGCCATTATGTACACTTAGGGGCCATTACTGTACTCTAGGGCCATTACTGCTACATAGGGTATTACTGCTACACTGGGCCATTACTGCTACAACTAGGCCATTACTGCTACACTAGGGTATTCTGCTAACTAGGGCCATTACGGCTGAACTAGGGCCATGATTACTGATACACTAGGGTCATTACTGCTACACTAGGGCCATTACTGCTAACACTAGGGTCATTACTGCTTTACAATAGGGCATTACTGCTACACTAGGGTCAATACTTGCTACATAGGGCCACTTCTGTTCTCTAGGGCCATTTCTGTACAACTAGGGCCATTACTGCTACACTAGGACCATTACTGCTACACTAGGGTCATTACTGCTACACTAGGGTCTTCCTGCTACACTAGGGCCATTTACTGCTACCACTAGGGTCATTACTGCTACACTACTGGGTCATTACTTGCTACACTAGGGCCTTTACTGCTACACTAGGTCATTACTGCTACACCCCACCCCCCCCCCCCCCCCCCCACCCCCCCCCCCCGCCCCTGGGTCATTACTGCTACACTAGGAGTCATTACCTGCCTACACCTAGGAGATAAGGTCATTACTTGTTACACTAGGGTCATTATGCTAACACGTAGGATCATTCTGCTACATAGGGTCATTTACTGCTACATAGGGTCATTAACTGCTTACCCACT